TTTTGCAGCCTTGTGGCACTGCAGTGTTGTTTTCAGGTTGTTCTGTATTCAAACCCCGAGATCCTTCTGTGAAAATTCTGCGGGAAGCCTTATATCTTTCAGGTGATATGTCCTCAGGTTCCCATTTGAATGAGAGTTGGTTGGACGCAGATGAAGGACGGCACACTTCTCCACATTGAAATCTAGAAGCCATTTCTTCGACCACGCTTGCAGTCGGTGCAGATTATCTTGAAGGGATCTCTGATCATTAGGACCCTTAATGACTTGACAGAGCTTAACATCGTCTGCAAACATTATTTTGCCGCAGTCGAGTTCCTGAAGGCTGTCGTTAACATAAAGGACGAAGAGAAATGGTCCCAGAACTGAGCCTTGCGGCACACCACTGGTCAAATTCACCCATTCTGACATATCATCTCCGATACAAGCACGTTGTTTCCGACCAACCAGAAACGCTATTATCCAGTTCAGAAGATCTCCCCGGATGCCGATGTCGCTCAATTTGTGAAGAAGACGTTGGTGCGGAACAGTGTCAAAAGCTTTGCGGAAATCGATGTACACGACATCGACCTCAAAACGCTATTCTAGAGCCCTGGTCCAGATCTCCAGACAAGCTAGCAGATTTGATAGGCAGGAACGTCTTCTACGGAGAGCATGTTGAAAATCCTGCACGATGTTATTTTCTTCACGAAATTTCTGTATAGCGCTATTTACTATAGCTTCCATCGTTTTGCAAGGGAGGCAAGTTAAGCTAATAGGCCCAAATCTGCTTACTGTCATCCTGCTACCTTCCTTATGCAATGGAACGAGGTTAGCTGTCTTACCCTGTGAGGGCAGCCTTCCTGTTCTCATTGACAGCTCAAAGAGAGTCGAAGGAGGCTTTGACAGCTCCGTTGATAGCTCCTAAGTATCAGCCCGGGAATTCCGTCGGGTCCAGGAGACTTAGCAGGTTTTATTTGACTGAGGACGCGTCTGACTTCTTCGACGGAAAAGGCGACGGTTCCAATGACGGCAATATCTTGGCGCATTTGAAGCTCCCGGCTGTCTCGGTCCATTTCAAACTGCTGATTGTCTTCTGAGTACTCCCCCGTAAAAACCGATTGAAAAAACTGAGACAGTAATCGCACGTTCTGTGGCCCTTCAACTAATAAGTTTCCGTGGCTATCCTTTAGACACGCAATTTCGTCCCTATGTTTCCTCCTACTGCGGATGTACCCGTAAAACTTCTTGGGACATGTAATGGATTCTGCTATCAGTCGGCGCTCGAAAGAAGTTATGGCAATCCGTATTTGTTTGCGGCATTTATTGCGCTGATCCTTATATTCGGCGAATGACCTTGGATCTCGAAGTTGCAAATAATTTTTCTAGAGTCGCAGTTTCTTCTTAGTGGTCTTTTTTGTCGTTCTGTTAACGTTTAACGATATTTTACGTTCCGTTAAATACAGTCGTCCCTTATCTGTGAGCGTAATAGCTATTTTGAACCAATAGCCCAGGAATGGAAAAATTCAGCAAAATTGTTCCTTATTTAATAGAACTATTACTAGTTTTTTGCAGTCAGAAAATCTCACAGCTATTTTGGGTACCGATTTTGCCTATTCTGTGTACCGCATTGATGGAGTTCGCGGTCTCTGATCCCCTGGCCGGTGTTGCCACGGAAAATTTGATCTGCCGCCAGCGAACAATGGTTTTGCAAATCACCTGTTTGGTCCAGTAGCAATTTCTTGTGAAGGAATTGAGACTGAAAATCTCCGAAGCAACTTTACCAATCCCTTTCTGGACCGACATCATTTCGTGGGCAGCTTTTTTCTCATGAACCATCTAAACTACAAAAACATCATCGTCGGTTTTTACTCATAAGCAGTTTCTTTCACTGTTCGTAAACGGGAATTAAGTAATTTTATCGGTATTATTATTGTCACTCATTTGTACAAACTCCATTGCTTATTCTGTCATTTTTCAGTCGGCGGCTGCACGCAAATGGTCAGGTAGTAACGACACTAGCCTCGTCTCTCTGATGGTCCAGACCGCTTCTAACCATGGGCTGACTTTCGCACAATATATCGAGGGCATTTGTGCGAGTACCATTATAAAATAAATAAACTTGGAAAGTTTTCAAAGGCTTGGGAGAAATTTTTACCAGCCCAGCAATATCAGGCAAATACAAAACTACTCAACCGTTCTTGAATTTTGCGAGTCTCCCGGTGCTGATGATAGAGAAGTTGTCCGAAGGAAATTGATTTTTAACGAAAGCTATGTTTCTGTGAATACCATAATATCCGTCTTAATGTAATAATCCGAGTTTATTACTTCGTTATCTTGTTGAAGAGTCCGTGTACATTTGCGGGATGACGTTCAAGGATAGTTTCGTCGGGAGACCCAGCCTTCATTGAAACAGGTTTTGACCACTGTAAGGGCTCCCTGGTCTGTACTATTTAGGATTTCTCGATTTTCAACTCTTTCTCCCACCCTACTGATTCCCACCCTCAATTACCTCATAATCAGTCTTTTCTCCGGTACGTAGTCCACAGGAAAGAGCATTGCTTTGCGCGAATTACGTGAGGCAATCCCTCCTTCTAACAAAATGTCTGCCTGCGTCTCCTTTTCTAAAAAAAACTTTTAGGGGCCTTGGGGATTTGGACTGCTTTGTCAGGACGGAAGGCTTCTTGTAAGGTGAAATGTCCATCCTTCAGGAAAATACTAGCGTATTCATAAATAAGATATAGATCATGTGTCACCCGTTCCTTTGGAATACATGAAATGGACTCTGGGACCCGCTTATTACGGTATTTTGTTTACGATTTATGTTTGGGCTGTTTATTGTCCGGAATGAGCTCGGATTATATTTCACCACTGTGGGGTTTCTCATCAATAATGACACATCGAACTTAGAGTGATGGGGTCTAAATTGTCCTATGACATACTGGCTTCGGACTGAGCGCTTTCATAATCATTGACTTGCTGCAACGTACTATACACAGAGTTAGCGTTCCTGCTTTCATAATCGGACTATTTAAGACACTTTCCTGCCAAGTTGGTGATATGATGAGATGGAATGACTGAGCCCACTCCAGAAGTAACGGCGAGTCTTTGTATTTCCTATTAGGTTTTTTGATATTCGTCCTGGCCTTTTTTTCACCCCTCAATCATCATGTTTCTCAATGGACTTCTAATTTAGAAACTAGGAATTGCATTTTGTAAAGATTCGGCCTACCTCGTCTAAAACTCGCATGCAAATTTATTTTAACTTGCTTTGATGGGACCCCGACGGGTCTTTAATAAAAATTATCTATCTATCTATCTATCTTTAACCTTCGGTGATTTGATAGGTTTAGTTACCATAACAGGTAATGAAGCTTGAGTTACTTTTGTTGCAGTAGCGTCGTCTGTCTCCTTATTCTCCGGAACCGATCTGTCTATAGTACCCCCTAGAGACATGGCTCGTTCCCTTCTCCTGGTTGTCTTTGATATTTCCACTACGGTATCTTTCTTAAGAGGATCTCCGTTGCTTGTCGGTTGGGAAGTTAACGGATTATTGATGGATTTTTTACGGGACACCAGAAATGCCACAATGAGGTTATTCAATGGACCTCGTTTCTGTTCTGGGATTTGCGTCGTTCGTTAGGGTCCGCACTACCGACAAAACGAAGAGCTAGCATGCAGTCCGTCCCATTAGTCATACAGTTCTCAACGCCTGATGCCAGTATACTGTTTCCTACTTCCTGGTGTGTTGCCTGCAATTCACTGTCCCTAAACACTTTGGAGTTTTATGATACCATCTGTACTTTTTACAAAAGACAGCTGATGAAGTTAAAATCCTCCTTAGCTTTTGTTCCCTATTTTAAAAAAATCAATCCGACCAGTTTCGGACCGTTTCCTCAAAGCGTGGTGGTTGACGCCCTGCTCTTCGTTACCAGAGGTGCAACTTTTGTCGGTATGTTTTTTATGACTGGCGGTTTGGAGCTTTTTAATCTGCTCTAGAATATTTCAGATATTTTCAGCCAACTTTTAGGGTAGATAGACAAGTTTCCGAGGATAAATTTGACGAAAAAAGTAACCGTTTTTCTCCAGTAGCTGCATCAAAGACTATAGCCATGTACAGATAGGAGGACGATAGCATATCCCTGCTGAAGACGAATTTGAGATGTATTTCGCCGGCGTGGACTGAAAGGAAAAGTCACTGAATCATTTTCTTGGAGTGTTTTGAAGGGATCTTCGCCTTGGCACGGTGGGAAATAAATCAGAGACCCACAGATGCCAAGTATCGTAAATCGTTCGAGTTGGTACACCCAAAATTCGAATTATATGCTGTCAGCCCGTAGTTTATTTTTACTTGACGTCATATGTGCCCTTTATTACCAAGTAGAATCGAAAAAAGATCTCGGAGAGCTGAAGATTTGAATCAAGTCCGGAGGTCGCGTCGTATGCTCAATGAACACATTATCTACGCAAACACAACACCACTAATGGCGGGAAACTTTATATCTTTCTCATTAAATTTAAACGAAGTTCATTTAATGCCGACTCACCTATTAAAACACTAGTAGCAAAACAGGTTACATTGTGCGCGTAGGACCCGATGCTGCTACGCAAAACTCTACAAACGCCAAAATGGTTGAGGAGAGCTTTTTGACGCAGGCGAAAGGGAAATTTTGGAAACTAAACGCAAACTATTATACGAAGAAATCTAATACATAAGCAAGAAATACGAGGAGAAGATGCTCGCTAAATCAGATTCACCAAAGGGAAGAACATTTAGCAAATCCAAATCAAAAACTGACCTCCTTGCAGACGCGATTAACCTATCTCAGAAGAAGTGATCTAAAGCTAATTTAAGTTCGAGTCCATGCACACTTGTTGTAGAAACGTAGCCCAGTTATTCAGTATACTGTTGTTGCCCTAGCCGACTATCCTGATCCTCCTGGAAAGCATTTATTTGTTTTAACTAGTCTGTACGTACGCGCGAGGAGTAAAACGCCGTTTCGAGGCGCCTGTGTGCGGTTGCAATGTCGTCCGGTTCCGTTAGTGGATTTGACCCATGGAGGACTTATCACGAGAGTCCTGCTGAGCAGGCAGCAATTAAGGAACGAGCGAAGTTCCGCGATGCAATGAAGGAGGAATACCGGAGGATTAAATCAAACCCCTTCAACCCTCCACAAGGCGTCATTGTATGTTGGAAAATGTGCATCGCGAGCTGTCGTTAGCTCCTTAGCTTTGCTTCTTATCTCTTCTGGCCTTTGATTTATTGACTGAAATGACTTTTTATATGGGAGTCTGCTATTTTACGATCCCTGTTGCCTCCGTAATATATGCTTATCGGATATACGTTACTGAGGAAGGGACGTTCTACTCTTCCCAGAATAGACAATATTCCGGTCTTTTATTACCTATAGCTCAGAAGACCATCAATAGCCAACTACATTTCCACATGAGCTGCCACGAACAGAGCATTCTTACGTACACGGGAAAGTCTGTTAACCTGCCTTCTCAGTCCCCGCTACCCTCAAGGGCTGCCTGCAAATTGTACGTTACCTCCTACAGCGTTCTTTAATCTGGAAAAATCTAGGGCACGAGTGGGATCAATATATCTTTGTTTTGAACGTGCGCGCGTGCTATATTACATCGTAATATAGCCTCCTGTCGTATATATGACCGCTGTCATTGGTAACAGCGCTTTCTGCGCCCTCTAGGCATCCTATTTGAGTGCATTCTGCAGCACGTATCGGGGATGATGCATTTCTTATATTTTCCCGAAATTCAGGGAAAAACCGTATTTTTTATAGACTTCGTCCAGAAAAAGATCAATTCAATGGAAGACAGACCGGAAAGCTAACTCAGGGATTTTGCGCATTCACAACTACTTGTCTTGGTGATAGCATTGCTCAGGTTAACCGGGTCACGAATGGCCTCTTTTAATTAAAAGACATAGATAGTTTTTGTTTAGCTATTTATTGACATCGCACCCATTCCAGAGGTCTATGCGGATCCGAGAGATAGCTTATTGAACTGTTCCCGCATTTTAGCTGCATTTTACCTGTCTGGTGGAGTTTCTGGCTCAATATTACAGAAAGTATCCGGTTTTGTAGGTTAACTGACGCATTCTTTATCATGCCTGATACTGCTGGCCTCGGTGATGTCACGCATCATACCTCCCTCCATACGTGACGATTCTCAGCAGTGGACGTAGACAGTTTAACCCATTCTTTCCTCTAGCGACGGAGATCGAATACAGGAGGCCCGAGGACCATTTCCATGTCTTGGCGAACTGTGTCGAGCCAGGTTTTGAGTTGACCTCTTCGACGCCTCCAGATTGGCATCGGCGCCGGATTGAGTACAGTAGCACTGAGATCGTAAGGCGGATCACGAAGAACATCCCTCATTGGTCTTTCTGTGCTGGGCTGAGATATCCGCACGATGCTGTGGCAGTGAGTGCGGACCGCTTCATTATAAAAGTCGGTGTGCTTCACTCGAAGTATGATCCTCAAGCAACAGTGGTCATATACGTCCAGTTTTGTTCATCCACCTTTGAAGCCTAGCATTCACAACTGTAGAGGTGGACTGACTGGATGGATTTACGGTGCACGCGGGTTTTTATGACGATATAAATGTCGCGTCGAGTCCATAGGCACTTTCTAGAGGCTGAGGAAACCCTATGGCAACATCGATTCATGGAACAATGCCGTCCTTATTCTGCCAATGGGTTGCAGCCTTGTCACGAGGTACTTGAAACCATCTCCTTCAAGTTGACAACCATTAGTCCCGAAAGGTTCTTTCTCCTGGTCAGAAATGCAGCTCGAAAACACCTTAGTTTTCCCGGTGTTTATGGACAAGCCGGCGGATTTCGCGACTTCAATCCAGACACCACAGACCGTAGGCCATCAAAGCCTGGGTCTAACAAGTCGATATCATTAGCGTTGTCGAGATCAGTTAGCCGGCGTCCGGGTACAAACTATTCCGCACATATGACTAGCCCCTGTGCAACTGCCTACAGGACTCTAGGGCTAGCTCCTAAATACAACAAGGCGAGCATGGCCCATGGTCCATTCCTGGCTTCCCATGCTAATCGGATTACAGTGCCATCGTCACACTTTGTGGAGCCTTTAACCCTCCGTCCCCTGGCAGCCCTTTTGGTGCTGGTCCTCGACCGCTGTTTGCCTTCATAAGCTGTCTGTTTTCTTAACAGTCATTTACGCCCATTAATGTTATATATTAGGGCGAACAGTTTGTGTAACCTGTTTGTGGTTGTCTAGTCAAATTGCTGTCTAGATTACGGCCACTCGTTAGATCTGCTTAATCTGACTTTTTTTTTATCCAGCTTTCAGCCAGCCTCTAGACCCACTGACCATCCTGTCTTCCCCATTCGTACTAAGCTAATAATTCCATCGCACCTGAGCAGTAACTTTTTGGGGCGTCAGTAATTTAATCCATACATCACTGCCGAATTTTGGCATTTATCGTCTTCCCACACTTAAAAATATTCATATTAATTTAGTAGTCCATTTACAATTCCGACCTGGACGATATGGTGTGTTCACCTTGGCTGTGTGACTAGGCAAAATTGTATAATCACAGTTAGTAAGTTTTATTTGACTAGACTGATCTTATTCAGTCTCCTTCAGCCAACCAAAACATTTGTCCTGCCGTTGTTTGCTCCCTGCTTTGCAGCATGACCCAGCCATGCAACGATGGTTTTCCGCGCGGGTTACCTATGCTGAGTACTTAAAACCTTCGAAAAAAGGAGCCCTCGTCTCCCTTCTTTTCTTTGGAGTTGCTGCTGGATTGTATGGACTAGCTACCAGGCGGAGGGTAAAATATGCTGCACTTAATTATATTAGTAACTTTCAACCGTTTTTAAGCCTCTGCGTTACTTACTTTCTCATTTTTACCCTTAAATTCTTTTAGAACAGGCTGTTGGAACCGATCGAGAATGGTCAAATCAGCTACCGGGAGCGTGCACTCACGGTCGTACCGAGATAATAGGATATACTTTGTTGTTTTCCCCGTGCTTATAGTTTTAGCTTTGGACATTTTTACTAGATGTCAATACATAACCTTATGTCTATCGTCGATCGTTCTGTACCATCAAGTCTTTTATGGTCCTACTTTCGGGTTACTTATTTTCTATCGGATCAGTTGGCGTAAGTAGGGCCATCACTCACTGCGATTAAAGTGAACAAAGGTAATGAAGCTGACGTAGGCTAGAGGACCCACTGAGGAGCCGAACCACCCGCAGTTGTGTCGTGCAGCGGCAGAATATCGGTGAAACACGTGTCTGGGCTTTTAGCAAGTGTTTATGTCGGGAATACGGTGTAATACCTTTACCATATGGATTTCATACTACTCGCAGTACGTGGTTATTCCACAGTAAGTGATTGTCTTCGACTCGAATGTTCATTGAAATGTCGGTTCTGGCCCTAAAAGTCATGTCCCGGAGATCTAACTCCAAGTCCTGCACTAAGTAATTTCTGAAATTATTCACATGATTATTCTCAGGAGTTAATATACCAGAAACTGCATAGAGGACGCTGGGGGTCCCGCTGAAGAGCCGAATCCCTCGCAGCTGTGTCACGCAGCGGCAGAATATCGGCGAAGCACGTGTCTGGGCTTTAGCAAGTATCTATGTCAGGAGTACGGTATAATATCATTAGCACATGTATATATACCACCTCTAATATACGGTGAGTGACTGATCTCATGAAATGATGGCTGAAATCCTGAAGCGCGTTTTCGATTAGGAAAGATTACCTAAGCGTGGTTGTAATACTGATTATTTTGCGGCATAATCCTATGATATTTTGGAGTCGGAGGATGTCAGCTTCTGAATACACTGCTTTTGAGATTCCTGTAGAAATCGTACTCGGTAAAAGGTGTCTACTTAAGTAGCGTGCACTTTTACCATTTATTTTCGATGGTCTTGCAAACTCAAATATATTTTATAGAAACCACGGGCAAAAATGTGGTTTCTTTCAGTCGTTTAATTGAGCATCACGTCATTATTATATTTTATACTCGAAGAAGGAGTATAATTAGGTTTTGAAAAAGTTTTCAATAATGAGATTTTTTTAAGACCGCGCAATATGTGCTCATATAGCGTCGTTCCTGTCCGTTTACCACTGCTTCTCATGAAATGTACAATACGGTCCGCATCTGTTGCAAAATTTCATTGACTCTATATCATATCTTTTTGAAGGCATAGAAAAATATGTAATTTTCTTTACGCGGAGCGCATGCAACTTGTGGACTGAAATCACCAGGCGCTAATGCAACGACTGATCAGTCTCCAAATTATTTGGCCCTTGGAAAACTTTATCAAAACTTAATTGTACTCTTTCTTCGAGTATAAAATATAATGATGACGTGATTCTCTTTCAAACAACTGAAAGAAAGCATATTTTTGCCCGTGGTCGACCAAACTATGATGGCTGGGTCGACTTCGGCCTGGTAGGCGGTTGCCTGTTAGTGACCTCTATCGCCCATACGAAGCATGTTTGCTTCGGGAAGCCGATGGATCGGTGTGCGTCCATTCCTGAGTGTTTTATATATATGTTGAGAGATGGGCATCCCAGGAAGTTTAATTAGAAGGTAATAAGAAGTAGAAATAAGGAATTAGAAAGTAATGAGTCCTTGCGGGAATGCAACAAACTCCATTCTTTGAATTTTCTACACTTATTCGCCAGGTTGTCTTCAGACGTGTGACAAATATGCAAAACAATCAACACTTCTTAAAGGGCCAAAGGTCGATATCGTCCTTTACTTCCTGCCAATAATTGATGGCCTTGGTTGAAACCTTGGTCACTGGCTGTGGCCACTTTCATTTTTCCCTGAAATTATCATAAACTGCGTCCTTTTTAGTGTGCCGGTTAACAGATGATTCGCCGGAGTATATAGCTTCCAAAAATCTATGGCCTTTTTTAGATGGACGGACACCAATAATACCAGTTATGTTTTAGGCAAATTTATGGCCGGTTTGTAGTGTGTGCACGGCAACGTGAGACACGTTGCCTCGCCTCCTCACGGCCAGTAGACATTCTTGTACGCATGTAGAGGCCGACTTTCCAGTTAAACTCACTACACTGTATTGCTGGTGTCACACGGAATCCTGTAGACGGTCTCCTTGTCTAGATAGCTACCCTATCCTTGGGGGTGTAAGAGCTGGTCACGTGATGTGGTCATCGGTTGGTGCGCCACTTGTATTTGACTTCATACGTAAAAGGTATACGAGCGTGTGCTCGCATTTCCACTCGCAGCGGCTGTTAACCTGCTGCCATGCCACTCTGGTATGTTGACAAAATCTTCGGCCAACTTTTGGCTAGACGCTTCCGCGATTTGGTGAATTTAGATCTAGCAAACTACCACGCAGTTCATTGGGCAGTTTACGATGGCATTGCGCAAACTTCCTAAGATGGTCGGCCATTGTCACCATCATGCTGCTTTTAGTGCGGACTGCCTCATTTGATGTTTGTGTGACATCTATTCAAATGAATTGTATCAGTCAACGGTGACCAACGTCTCGTTTTGTACCTCAGCATCATGAATAGCTCAGCATTTGTTACTACAGGACTGACCGAACGGATGCTGGGTATGCAGCTGCCTTTGCGACGATCAAAATACTTCTGCTCTTTTGTATATCTTAGGGGCTCAGGTGAACTCTGTGGACCGTATCCTGTCGTGTTGGCGTCTTTGTTCTATCCGTTAGGCAATAACTGGATATTTGTAAATGCCCACGCCTCCAAGCTAGTATTACTAGTCGCCAAGGGCGCTAATCTGCCCATCGGCTATGCAGGCTCGAAAATACTTTTGGTTTTTGCAGCCTTGAAGGATAAGCCAACTTGCTTGTCGACCCTGCCAAAGTACTGACTGTAGCGAAGACGGTGTCTGCAAGTTCTGACAATGGCCTAGTGGAACAAGATGGAGACAGGTTACGGTCTTGCTAAATGACTGCTTAAATACTGACGGATTATGGAGAACTCGGTCAGCAGCAGGACAATGTCGTAATCATTGTGTGAGCCGGTTTATCAATTATCTGCACCAGGAACTCTCTAAACGGGAGCGACTGCTACGGCGAGGCAGGTTTCTAGGAACATTGTGAAACTCGGTCACGCACCGCGTATCATGAATTTGTTGGTGCATACGTGTCCAGATTGGAAAATGACTTAGTTGTACCGATCTTCACATCATACATCATCTGGTACCGATTAATATTGAGAGTGATGAGCTCAACAGGGATGTCATTGAGACTGTTGGGACAATAGTTTCCGGTCTTCGTTCTGCTTCCATGCGGACGGGCGCAAGGATGACGAGTATCAGTCAATGAGGGAGCGATCTCGCCTCTGCATGGTTGTCCAAGCACACCGAAAAAGGCCTTATCAACACCAGTAAAACCTCTCGGTACTACACAGACTCGGTACAGCGTCCTTGATTTTTTTCGGGGAAAGTACGTTCACACGACAGCACAGTCTGACAAAGGACGAAGCCCTGCTACTGTGGAAAGGAAATGTCGAGACGAAGTCAGAAGCATTTGCTCTACCGCTTTACATTCGTCGGATTGACATACATGATGCAATCACACATATAACAAAGAGAGCCACCCAATGCGGGTGGCCCACCGATAGTCTGACGGTCGACTTGTTAGGGTTTTCGGCTGTCTCTGAATTTCGTCGCCCGCTCTATGAAAATTCCTATGTCAGTCCAATAGCGGCCCAGGTCCACACTAGCTGTCTGTAATTAAAATAAGGATTTGGCCAGCGAAGACGTCGCTTCAAGATCTAATTAAAGCTGTGGGCGAGCATGTGTAAGGTTCGTGATATAATCAAATCTTTTCCCCCCAACTTCGTGAATCCAAGTTCTTCGGTTGCTATGCGACATGGGGTTTTCGGTGCCAAGACGGAATCAAGATGACCGGAGGCGGGGTAGCGCGCAGATGGATAGCACGGTCGAGCTCGCACCTCGACGCTCCACTCCACACTCTGGTCCACACAACAAATGACCAGGTCTTGACTAACAACAGCAATGGGGGCCGGCAGGTGTCCCAATGTGCGCGACGTCTACCGGCAACCAGGTCTGTCATCGCACCCCGAAATGTTAACATTTTATATGATGTGTAATCCGATAACGCCTGCCAGAATGCGATATGATCCCCCGTGTTGGTGCAGCGCATCTACCACGTTGCCCCTTCAGGGGACAACACACAATCACAATCACTAGAGTTCGATTGTCGTTTCCGACTATGTCCACCATGTGCTCCCCAGCTAGGTGGGAGCAGGATGATGTCTTGTGCGTGAATTAGTTTATGGTGAATGTAGATTTGCACAGCATCTACCGCACTCTCTCCTCCCTCATCTAGATCCAGTGTCAAGGCAGAGTCAGGAAGATCGGAGGCGGTGGTCAACACAGCAAATGACCAGGTTTTTGACCAACAACAAAAGGGTAGCTGGCACGGCCGGAGCCGCACCTGGGCCGGATCGCACGAAATGGGAGTGCCATAAATTCTAGATTAAGGGGGAGCCATTGCAGCCTGACTCTTAAGTAGGTTTTAAAAAGTTTTCTAATTACCGAATAATTCGGGGCCTGATCATTCGTTGCGTTAGCGCTTAGTGATTTCAGTCTACAAGGTGCATGCGTTCCGCGTAACGAAAATCACATTTTTTTTCTATTCCATTAAAAGATATCATACAAAGTCCATAAAATTTTGCAATGGATGCGGACTATGTTGTACATTTCATGAGGGGCTGCGGTAAACGGCGAGTTACGATGCTATGCGAACGGACATTGCGAGGTCTTAAAAAACCCAATAATTAGAAACTTTTTTAAAACCTAATTATACTCCTCCTTCGAGTATAAAATATAATTATGACGTGATTCTCTATTTGACGACTAAAAGAAACCACATTTTTGCCCGTGGTTTCTATAAGATATATTTGAATTTGCAAGACCGTCGAAAATCAATGGGAAAAATGCATGCTACTTAAGTAGTCATTTTTTCCGAGTACGATTTCTACAGGAGGTTAAAAAGCAGTGTATTCAAAAGCTGAAATCCTGCCGAGTAGGGAATGGTGGAAGATTATGCCGCAAGATAATCAGTATTACAACAGCGACCAAGTAATCCTTCCCAATCGAAAACGCATTTCAGAATTTCAGCAACATTTCATGAGATCGATCACTCACTGTACGGTACCAGGGAAATCTTTTCCCTGGTTCTGATTGAGAGCCAGTGTTTTTTTTTGCATTAGGGTGTTTGTAAACACGATGGTCTCCGATAGTTGGCGGGCCCACACCGAATTTTGGCAAACTTCAACTCGCATGTTTGTTATCGATTGGCGTCTTTAAATCTCCCGCGGTCCCCGAACTCGTGTTGTGTTCTCAGGGGCAAAAAATGGCCATCGAGCCAGGAGACCCACGCCTTCCTCGCTATGTGGAAGGGTCTGTAGAACCAGTCTATAGGAAAAAGTCCTTTTCAAAGGGTGTTGCCCTCTATCTTCTGCACAGAGACTACTGGTCAAATGCGGAGACCAACTACCGAAGGCGAAGTGAAGGCAAATACGAGCAGCCCCACGAGTGCACAGGGGAGGACCCGCCTGACTGGAAGCCTGGCTATGAACCCTGGCTTGATGGTTGGGTGGAAGGTATTGCTCATGTCAACCCTTGGCTACTGGAATTTGGTAGTTACGTTTATGCTCAAGTGGAAGCCCACTACCGTTTCTATCGCAGCGAACTGGATGCATTTGATTTTGAGATTGACGAAACCGTCTTTTCGGCGAGGGTTCAGCTAAATCCACCACCCTGCTCTCGAGAGGGCTTTACCTGTTTTGCCAATCCCCCACACGACATTAACAGCTACAGTGCACCACTCCGTCAGCTGTATGAAAAACTCGGGGGTCCTGCTGGAGCCAGATCAATGCAACATGAATTACTGACACCTTACGGAGTTATCCCTGGACATGCCCTAAATAATCGCTCACAATATACGTTTGTGCCTCAGACTAAAGCAGTCAAGTCGTCTGGATTTCCTGATCACCCGTATGTGACGTACAATTTCCCTTTTCGGTTCGATATAAACCGCGGACCGGACTCAGTTTATATGAAGTCGAACAAACCAGCCCCCAATGGGAATCACCCGGTACCCAAAACGCGCCATGAACTCTTCATGGATGCTGTCTATGGTTTCGCCAACGATGCATCCGACAGTGACCCTGAGGCCCCTGACACATCGGAAGATGACGATGATTTCTTGCCTCGCATTCGACACCCACGTGAGCCAGTAAAGAAAAAACATGGAGTCCGGAAAATAGATCTTAGAATGCAAAACTACAAAGACCGATTCCACAAAGACTGCTACCCATGGCGCCCAAGGCAACACAAAGCACCAAAGGCCGGAATCTACTGGACTGTCACAGTTTATGCAACAATGCAGCCCACAGCAAAACCAATCAGACAACATACAGCAACTATGACTATCAGGAAGCTAAGTTTCCTGCCCCGCATGATTGCTTTGCATCATCGAATTCCTCCAACAATTACCACCGACTACTGCCTTGCCGTTGGACCACGAGCAAACACCGACGCCGGCGTGATAACTCTCAACGGTGAGCTAGACAAAATGATCTACGGGCCGGGTGATCCCGTGATTGTTTACATCAAGGTTCACAATACTTCAAATCGCGTAGTCCAGCAACTAACGGTGGAGGTAAATCAATGTATTCGCGTGGCTTCTTGGAGCAATCGTGTCTGGAGGATTACAATTTGCCGGCGGGAGATAACCGCCGAGAACCCGGATGCAGAAATGCCCATTTTACCGGCAACAGAGCAGGTGAAACTGAACGTTCGCATGAACCCCTTCTGCATAGAAAAGCAATATAGTCATTTGTTTTATGATAAGTGGCACAAACGGAGACTGCCTAAAGTGCCCATTGAGGAGGAGGCCTACACACTCCGCATGCCGACCACTCCGGGAATATTTTACGCTGTCGAGCAACCCGGTCGGCACGAACCGGTCCCGCTCACTTTTATCCTGCGCAGGAGACCAGCATTCTCTACGCTGCCGGGCGTAATTGATAGTCTTATTGAGAATTATCCAGGCAAATTGCCCACGATAAGGGAACCCCTGGAGAGAGAGACTAAGGACCTCTGGAGCGAGAACCCCTATGGGCGCTGTCGCTGCTTCCGACGGCCCCGTGATGAAAACTCAGAAGCTCGCTGCAAAAGGATGCCGCCGGATGAGCCCTACCAAATCCCTGTGCATGGATACGACATATACGACGAAGAGGAGGAGAGAGACCCTCAGATGGCCGCCCGAAATGAGTTGGCTCCAAGGTGTGCTCGTTGTGGTGGTGCCTGGCCATCCAGCATTCAACCCGTATATATAAATTATGAGGTGGTGGTGTCAGCAGTTCTACGCCCACAAGAGATTCCTGATCCACTGGCCCAAGACTCGCTCTCAAAGGCACTGGGACTCAGCTCTGGTCTCGCCCTTCCTCCTAAAGGCCACATTGAGGGCCCGGACGGGCCACGAATCTCCCTTCCTCTCCTCTACTCTGTCCCTGAGCCCGTTCCTGAGGTGCCCATACCCGTTGCCAACTATAATGTCGATCAACGTCAGGACCGTCCGCCGAAGTTCCCACCGAAACCAAAGGTCTGGGAACCCAGTGATGGAAAAGGTCTGTTTGTTAAAAATCAGGAAAGAGCGGCGCCTTGTCCCACTGGAGATGAAATCAAGGTGAAGCTATAGCAAGGGGATTAGGCGAAGACCCGTCGGTGTCATTTGTCTTTCGGTCGCATAAAATGCATACATGACCAAAATGGCGAGTTGCGTCTGGCCGAGCACAGCTACAACGATCAGTTAACTCCGAATTGCCTTAACTACTGCGTAACTTCTCCACATCGTTCGACTGTTTATCGCATCCGAGAACGGAGAAAACTGCACAAGTTCTTTAGTGTATTTATTAAAAGTGGCGAGCACAAAGGCTTAACTAACGACTAAACACAATCTTATTCCAGATACTTCGCTGTAATGAGAGTGGCACGGAATCAATGAATTCAAGATCTTATGGCAATTGCTTTCAGATAGAAAATTGCTTCGGTCACGATGAGTTCCACTTCATTTGTAACCTCCACTCAGCCGGATAGAAGCAAAAGTTCCTCGCGGAAGGAAGGCAGTACACTGTCTGAAACGGTTGTATCTAGTCAGTACTGAGATGTTACAAGAGTCGTGATAACCGAAATGTGAAATCATGCACGCGAAACCGTAATGGTCAGGGAAGTAACGAATTAAAACCCACTCGACAGTCGCAAGGCGTTTCTCCTGTGCGAAGTTCAATACAATAATCCCGGATTCACAGCCCGGTTAGGACAAAGGCAAAACAAGATTAACCGCCTTCCGTTTTGCAGTTGGGATAGACCAGCAAGCCGACCGAATATGCCCGGTCACAACCGACAGGATGGGAATACGCAGTCGATGCTGGAACGCCAGACTAAACGACCAATGTAGTCAGCTTAGAGATCCGAGTATTACGGAATTGGATTCGGAGCTTGTTAATAATTAAGCAAGAAACGGCCATCAAGGTTGTCACTGGGATTGGGCGTAAATACTTCTTGAACCCTATCTACAGGTGGCACGGAAGGCAATAATTTGCGAATGCCTAAACGCTTCCGAGGTCGTTCTTCACAGTCCTTGCAGCTCTTCGGCGTCAATCTTTGCAACTTATGATCTCGTTAAGCAGCTGATGGAGGACATCGCCAATTTCGCGAGGAATTTTTAACGGATGGCAAGTCGAAGCAGGAAAGAAGTTAGGCTAACATAATGGTAATGGGGATTTCAACCGAAATTCCCTGTTATGATGACAGTTACAACAGACATACAGGAGCAGGTAACCTTGCCGACCATCAAAATACATCATGCGGTTTCTGTAAGTTGGGCTCAAATGTGTATACGTGTGAATTCACCAGGCAATTATCGCTTTCAGTACTACGCACAACCGCGAAGCGGTCGAACCATTCCTTTGCTGGATGGGCTGCACCCATTTCCGATTTGACCAGTCTTAATAATTCCCATAGTGTCAACCCACGCCCGACGATCCATTTAACTTGATTAGGTTGGCTCAACCAAAGCATTATTTACCAGAGAGAACGGAACATTTGAGTTGCAAGAATCACCCGGACATCCTAGCGGTCCATGTTCAGCCACACTTTAATTTGATCTCCTTGAGGTTGCCTGGACTGAGGTGGCAACAATGCCAACCGCACTATAATGTCTCGAGTGTGCTATTTGTCTCAGAAAAGACGCGGTTGATTTATCGAAATCCGAGGATTGTTATCAGAAAACGAGGGGAAAAACCCATAATTTTTGTCCTCATTCTCGGCGCACAGATGAGCATTTATGACCGTAGACGTAACAGATAGCCGAATGAAGGCCTTTGCTGAGAGTAAGACACAATGAAGGGTCCAAAAATGTGTCCGATGGCTCTTGAAAATCCTGCAACCAGCATCGGTTCGCTCAACGAGCTCCTTCCCTTCTACGCAGGTCTGTCATAACTCGGTCTCTGGATATCGCCCACTCCTTCCGCTCAACGTCCGTCTATCGCGCAGTGGAAAATTCATTTTGAGAATAGGCCTAATTTTGTATAACTGATGTAGTGCGCATTCCGAGATGGTGTAATGAAAAAGAGAAGGCTCTTCGGAAGATCGAGCTGTACTCGTGGATTCTGAAGTTGGATACCAACCCGTCGTCAGACGAAATGACAGAGGAGCAAATGAGGTCGGCAGACGAGATCGGCTGGTGCGACAGGACAGACAAACAGCCGATGCATGAGAGGGGTGATCACAGAGTTATGGTAAGTTTTGGGGAGAGGGGATAGGGAGATTCGTAAGGGCTCCCTGTGCCGGAGGAGTAGCGGGGGGATTGCGGATCAGCAGCAATGTAGATGGCTGGTCGCTGACGCGGGGTGAGGTCAGTGACCGTGCACGTAAGCCCTCGTAGTAGGCGCCTATGTCGACGTGGAGTTTGATGGTGGACAAGCAACTTGATTCGGTGGCCCCATTCAGTGTAAACACCATGTTCTCTGCATCACTATACATTCCCACTCACTTGTCAGAGTTCAGATGAGTGCAGAGAGATCAGCAGTTGAGATCAGCTCCTCGGTGCTCTAGAATAACTTCAAGACCGTTAAAACCCACACAATGACTTTCCATAGTTCGGCCTAGTGGCACGCATCGGAATAGCTGGTGGCAGAATTTTCATTAACAAATGACTGTCCGAAAATCGATTGCGGAAAGCTTCCATAAACATGAAAATCACGTTAAGATGCAGCAGTACTAGGCCATGACTACAGCGAGATTTGAGTGGCACGGCATCCAGTACCGGTACTGCTACGGCTCTCAACGAATGGAATCAACAACTGCAATGTAGGTAACTCGAGGTACCGTAGCATGAATATTTTGTAGGTGTATTAACGTCTGGCCCGGAAACCGGCTTAGCTGTGTATCGTCTAGAAGATGCGATCGCCGGAACAAGAAATTTATTTGCCTGACGTTTCGGATCCTTACTCGGATCCATCATCATGTGTATCGTCTCCACACCAGACACACTTCGGGGCCACCTAAGGTGGGCGACGGCCTCGTCCTATGTCGCAGCTACTTTCATGCTTCATCTCATCTCGACTCTTGAGGACAAAATGATGAGGAAGCCGCGGTTGTCAGGAAAGATTTAGTTTTCTTATTCTATCGGTTCACGGGACCAGAGAGTCAGTTTAACCACGCCGCAGAGAATAATGAAGTTCAGCCCCGAACGCTTTATTGTATTATGTCAGCGCCCTTGTTAATGCCTTCCCATACAAGTCTGACCCCCTAATACCTCTACAATTTAGCAAAGAGTGATAACCAGTGTGAGCTCACGACCGACTGGAACACCAGCTACCTTCAGCAAAACTAATGGAATACGACGTAATTATGCGATTCCAGTGGTTTAATTATATAAGTTACAATGTATACTGCCAACCGGTCTTTGCACCAAAATGAAGAGCACGTAGTGGTCATAAGCAGTTGAATATGTATGTTTAGCAGAGAAGATCTCGTACCAGAAGGTCTTCTCGAAAACGTCGAGCGTAACGAAATACCAGGTGCTGCGTAAAATAATAAAAAAACGCGGGATCAGGCCGCACTCATTAGACGTCTTTGGCCCTCTCGACACTTCCCATAAATAATTTTTTCTGTCTTCGATCTTAGTTCGTGCAACGGAAAGAAAACCGCCCCAGCAGGGACTGAAAAAGAAGGAGCCGTAGGAGGACAAAGTCAAAGTCCCCAAAATTAAAGTCAACTTTCCCCATTTTTGATTGCATATTAGATTCCGGGAACCATTGCCTTCATTCTTCCGACATTGTTGTGTGGTCTCCGCCACACCCTAAAAGTTGGGTAAACTAGCAATAAAAATCATCGTGTTACTGTAATATGGCGTAGGCAAATTACGTGACGGAGCAGGAAGGCTGACAAATGAACTAATAAGAGGAGTTTACTGTACAGTATATACAAAAGACCAAATACAAGGTCAAAACAAAAAAAACAGAAACTTCATTAATTTCATGCAAAGCCCGCCGAGTCGAGTTCGGCACTCGGAAAAAGAGGCCTTTTCAGAAAGAAGTTTTCCTCCGTCCGTTGAGTTCGGTCAGCCGTAAGCTCAAGCGAACTCTGTGTTTGTTCCCCTGACTTAGGCGCAGACGTCGAGTCCGAGGAGTTGCCGGAGGCAGCAGCTGCTTTATTGCCCTCTAGTGATTCGGGCAGGGAATCCGCCAAAAGAGCGGATAAGTACGGTTGCCCGGAAGTAGGTGGGAGGAGAACTAAAAGAGAACAGAAGCAAAAGATGATTTGGGCAGAGGAGGGTGAATAACCTCTCTTCTAAAACTCAATCTCTGCTCACGTGGAAAAGACTCCAGATCCCCAGGGAAGAGGTAGTGGACGGGCTGGATGCGAGCAAGGAATTTGGTTAGGGAAATCTGTGCATCACGCTTTTGGTCCAGGGCCAAACGGCGCAGTGCAGCAGCATTTGATGCCAGAGGTGGACGAGTGACCTTAGTGGTCAAGTAGGTGTGTGGGTCTGGCAGGGGGGGCAGGAAGAGGTGAGAGAGAGCCTTGGGCGGCGGCTTGTTTGAAGTCACGACAGCGGCTGCTGGGGTGCCTGCCCTCGCACCAGTTGACGATGAGCCAAGAACCGAAGAACGATTCACGATGGCACCGAAGCCCTCAGAGCGCAATCTTAGGGTGCGGGGTATGATAACCACTCCGTTGGGTCCAAGCACAGGCTTACTTGTCATGCTTTTCTGTGATAAGTCGCCCGTGGGTGCAGCTATAAGAAACAAAAGTGTGCTTTGGACCGAGAAGAATGAGTAGAAAGGTACGGACAAAGAGGAATCACTCACGTTCTTTAATTTGACGAATTGCTTGCCGGACTGGTGGCTGCTCGAGCAAGCAGCCTACGTCGAATCCAAAGTCTATGAATGCTAGCAAAATGTCATTCAGAACGATTTTTGTCCTTCCAGCTGACTCCGCATAGCCGAGGCTCTTAGAACCAATAGATTCGATAACTAAAAATAAATATGGACAACCGAGATACACACTTGGCTATGTGGTTAAAGTAAACGTGTTTTGCATGCAAAAAGACGCAGGTGGCGGAATAATTGGGAGTTTTTAAAAAAGCCATGTTCGTGGTCGGATGTTCTTGCCGGTAATTATGGTCATCGATGGAGGGCCTGCTATATTAGAGGCATTGCCCTCCATTTTGTGCTGTCAAAAAGCTAGCATTATAAAGACATATTCAGAAAGAGCAAAAGGCAATAACGTCAAAAATTCTGTGGTTGCCTTCTAACTGCCACCGCTCAGTTTATAGTATAAATAATGAGCAGGGAAGACGCACTAACTTGAACTTTTGTGACACAGTCAATATAAAGGAGAGCAGGTCAAAATCGCATTTCGGAGAGCTTCTCTCTAACCTTGTCCGGTTCTGAGCTGTTCTCTTATTGCAACAAACACTGCACAGTTACGCTTCTTCTAATCAAACTAAAATAAGTATTTAACACCAGGTCCTGCGATGACGATGTAGAAACGCCCGTTGCTGTAGTCGTCGGAACCCTGACAGACATAAATTTTACAATTTTCCAGTTAAAAAGGTTCAGAGGTTTGTTCTAAGTTGAGTTTTCTGGCCAACGACTCAATTTTAAAATAAACATTCGCACCGCAAGATAGTCATATTAATGGATCCGACAATAACGGATTGTACGCTACACTGCCGGTCAGCCTTCCGCACTAAATCCCTCCTAGTCCTTACGACATAGCTGTTGTCAGTGGACTTGACCGATGACGAGATACACGACTGTTAAATTCTCAAAGTGATGTGAGCATGCAGTACGTGAATGAATGCGCAATGTACATGAAGTGTGACCTAAAGGAGAACTGTTCAGTTTTGGGGAATAATCAGGGATGAATGCCAGCGTTCCAGTGACCCGATAGATAGTGATTATGGCTGGCTTAGCAGGAGAGAATTCTTCAGTTTTAATACTTTCCTTATCAGCGACACTATAAAACTACCGTCCGACCATTTCGCCTCTACAGTCACCATCTTTTACGTAGGTTTTGTGCCTGCCAAACCTTTTTGCCCAGGAAAACTAGACGTTAGGATGACAGCGCCGACCTATTAACTTGACTGCGGACGGCCCGACGCGTTTATGGGTGACTTTCAGAGAAATTAATCCAGTAAAGGTCCGCTGCCAAATAACAAAGTCCATTTTCCGGATAAGTTGTCACAGGTCGTGCCGTGGAAATACCGTCACTTCTGGCTGGCCATCAATCTTACCAATCAGGGACTCGAAAAAAGTTAACGAGCCAGAGTGGAACAAAGGCATGAAAAGTGTCGTCCGTCATCAAACAAAGACTCATCCACAGCCCTAATTTTGCCGACTTACCATGGTCAAAGGCTGCGTCGGACTAGAGACGTTACACCTACCACATCCCACAGAATGTCAATAACTTTGTAAGGAACATCTATCAAGACCAGAATGCCCTAACGATCAAGGTTAGTCATAGTGCGTTAATCTCAACACGACTTAACATATCGCTCTGAAACGAGCAGTTCTCCTAGTTTTTGAACAAAGCTGGCCCGATTTTCTCTAATATCCGCTTTGACGGTGTCCTGATCTCCGAGATGCTTTGTATAACAGTACGGCTCTTCTGACCTCTATTTATTTTTGAATGTACTTGGTACGGCTAAGACCATACCTGATCTAGCTGGTCTTGACGATGTTACGAATTGCATCGCTCCAAGTTACCGGATCCGGAGCTCGACCAGTCCTCTCCTCCAGCGACGGAGACTGAATGTCTAGAAAGTACTTCCGTGTCTCATCGGATCGTGTCAAGTCAGGTTTCGACTTAACATTCTCTTCGACGTCTCCCAGTAGGCAACGGCACCGGACCCTGGGTAGCAATACTTAGCGCATGGGGCCGGCAACAAATGGCGCGTCCAAACCATCTGAGGTGTCTTTCGTAAATGGCAAGTATTCAACATAAAGAGCCCGTTTTCGATCGAATCCAACTCGCACACTATTCGTATGTGCCAATAGACCGGGGTTTCCGGGAAGTACTGGTTCCCGCAAACGCCGTAGCATGAATTGCAATACTTAAAACGAAAATGTACATGAGGTTTCCTGTGAATTTTTAAATATAGACGGTCAAATTGTTTGTTCATTGTTATTTCATCTAGCAATGGGGCTCAAGAACCTAATTAAATGGCAACGGTGGCAAGCAAACGTAGTAAATGGCGGTTCATGGTCGTCACGTCGCAGTGCCAGACCGCAGCCCTCCGAGCCATGGAATCACTGTCGCGACTGATTATCTGTCAGATTTAATCGCCTGTCCATCTCGTAGCCAATCTTCGTCGAAGACTGTTCCACTATCCGTCACCTGTGAACGGGCCGGGTAGCCCGTAGTCAAGCTAGTAGAGGACCCATCTTCTAGCCTTGACTTCAATCTGAGAAACAAACAGTATTCGGTTATCACAGCAATGTTACCGTTACAACGGACCGTCGCACAAGAATAGCAGCAGGATCTACTTATTTGAATCCGCCAGTAAAACCTTAGCAGTAATCGTCAGGATCGCTTTTTGCTTTTATAGCCGTAACGTACAAGCAAGGGTGAGCCAGTTCTTATCTTTATTTGTGACGGAATTTATCAAGGCTGATCCAGACGATTCTATGCCGAAGGTTAGTCACAACATGAAGATCTGTCTGTGGTACAGACAGTTGAATGGAGACTAACAAGTTAGTTTGGGTTAACTGGTAGGCCAGTCTCGTAGATAAAAGAACTGTAGTGCCCTGAAGGCCACTTCTGATTCCATCCCCCCACATCTCCATGTGACCACCTCCACGCCGCTGCCAATCGGGACCAGCATCCTGCAGTGCAGTATCATCTGCTACTTTTCCTTTGAGACAGCACAGCACATGGCCAGCGCAATTCAATCTGCAGATAAGGACGAGTCACGAATGCGTTCTAGAGTAAAACAGTCGTTTTTCGGAGTCGCGATCGAAGTATGATTTGAAAAATAGAACATAAGAACTATTAGCAAATGTTTTCTGAGATCGCATGAGTCATAACTGCAGATGGTTGTCTTGGCGGGAGTCCCGTATACTCTCAGCCTTGTTTTCGAACTTATACCACGCTCATTTCAGAAGCATCTGCAGTTCAACAAAGGACACGGGCCCTTTATAAACAAGATAACGGATCTCATGATCACCTTGCCCGATCGGATATAAAAGTTCAACCCATGGCTGAAGAGGCTATCCACTAGCACAAAAGCCCCATTCTCCGCTGCAACCAGGTCGATATCCCTGGCTTCAAAACTCAAGGCCGCTATTTTATTTCCATCACAGTTGGTTTCCAAGTCCAATTTTAGTGCCTTTGCAACTATCTGGGGCAGCAGACCGCATTTGTAGGCCCAGAAACAGCACTTTTGAATTCGGATAAGGCTGACCTTTCTACGGGTTTTCACTGATTAGAACGTTAGATAGCTGCCTGACAGTCCCAAACTCAATTGCTTGAGAACAAACGTCAAGGGGATAACGCAACAGAAAGCAGATTGTACATTGCATTAACAAACAAGATTCTAGGCACTCAGACATCTGGCCATTCGATGGTCATTCTAAGGTCCAAAAAGGACTTAAGACTCCACTTTCCTAACGTGAGAAAATGGCCTTCGTGTGCGAAAACTTTAAACACCGCCGTTGGGAAGCTATAATTTACAAGACATACATGTTCTACATAAAACCTCAGGAACAAAAAATAGGGATGGTTTTCATAAAATGCAAAGTGGAAGCCCGCGACTTGTGGGAAAACAAACTTACAGGAAATGTACAAATTTGTCAGAATTGGAAGACATTGTTGTTCGAGCAGACTAAAACCACTATGGATGGCTGAATACGCAATTGCGGCTTCCAAAACATCAATAATTCCGTGAGGAACATCGCCATGTGATATTGAACGACCTGGCGGGACAGCCATGCGCTAGACTGAACTCAATTAGGCGTCTTATTTAAAAGCTTTAGTCAGTAGTTTCGCGAGAAAACAGAAGTCACAGTCCGCCAAAGCCACTTCCAAGAATCCGTCGTAAAGGGACAAGGGCGCACAACTATGGGTGGCTTATTGATCTCACGCCTAGACTGCAGCTAAGTAAAACACGCAAACCATGTGGGAACACTGCGCAGAAATAGACAAAAACTTAAAAACAAACAGAACACGGTTAGAATTATTTTTAAAAAATGATTTATAGATTTAATTTTTTTGTTCAACAGCCAGGAGGAGGATAAGTAAAAACGAAAGTGTTCCATGCCAAGTCTAACGTACACTTTAAAAAACCAGGTAATACTATCGTTAATTTTTAATTTTTGGAGGGTGGACGCGATCATTCTGTATGCTTTCGAGACATTCAGGTAGAAGTGCCCTGAAACTTTTAGACCACTGGAGTATGCTATGCACAACAGCACTGAGAAATCAACAAAATCTTCGAGAGTATGAGTCGTTTATTGTTGGGAGTGCTCACACTCCCAAAAACAAGAGCTAACCAATCACTGGAGATCACGTGCGTTTGCTCTCTCTCTTTCTACAGCGCTGTCATCTCAATCAGGCGCCTTCCCATTAGCTGCTCCCCTCTCCCCGAAGGTCATTGGACCGAATGCCGTCGGACCACGGCAGCGTGTTACAAGTATACGTCACCCTTAGATAGTCGCGACTTGCAGTGTTTGCTAATACACTTTCCGTGGTCAGCCGTGTGTTCTTTGTCTGCTGCTTTGGTATTGGGAACCAGGGTCGAATGCGTGTACGCTCCACGGGATTTCACGTACCAGGAGAGTCATAGCAAATTGGCGACGCAGTTTTTTCAACTACGATTGCTGACGAGTACGCAGGCTTGAAGCAGATGTTGCAGCAGCAGCCGAAGCTAATGGAGGCACTCACCGTTAAGCTGTCCAACTCGCCCATGGGTCAATGAGGCACGGCAGGTTGTTCGCAATCTGTTGATCACATTTCCGGCATCATCACTGAATTCTTGTATGACCCGCAGGCCCATATCACCATTGATTCCTGGTACAAACGATACGAGGACTTGTTCTCTGTCGATCCGGCTGCTCAGGACGATGCATGGAAGGTCTGAATTCTACTTCGCAAACTGGGTCCGGCTGAACATGTGCGTTATGCAAACTTCATCCTTCTTAAGAATCCTCTAGAAGTCGCTTTCAAGGACACGGTTCAGATCAGATCAGATCAGATTTATTAGGGGAAAAGTAGGCGAGCGCCTTTGAACTCCCTTTTGGTTACAATAACGTCATAAAAAACAATGTGTAGGGCAAGTGTGAAAAAAATTAGGTAAATAATTACGTACAACAAGCATTGGTCACTGGTATGAATTTGTCTGTGAATGCCTTCTACGTCAAAATTGTACAATATCCAGTACGGCAATGAATGGACCAAGTAATATCAAAACAGGCGCATATGTGGCGGTCAGGAGATAGCGAAAATTGTAAAACGTAATGTTACTAAAATATAGGGAGTAGCATGCTTTGTAACATAAGACGTTGGATGGGGCGGGTGCCACAGGGGGGAATTCGTTAGTTTCTGATGCTGTGGAGGTACATATCCCTGTACTGGTCAAGCTTTCTCTTAAATGAGTCCACGGATGAGGACATGACGACATCCACAGGCAGGGCGTTCCATGCCTTTTCCACTCTGTGGCTGAAGAAGGACCTCCTTGCGTCCAGTCTCGCTCCTGTCACACGTAGTTTCAGAGGGTGTCCTCTCAAGCTAGTAGTGGTGGCCAGCTCAAAGGAGCCACCGGATGCGAGGCACCAGTCCTGACCCCGTAACATTCTAAACGTTTGAATTAAGTCGCCACTTACTTGTCTGTAGTCCAGGGGAAAGAGGTTAAGATTTGAAAGTCTGGTTTCGTAAGGTAGGTTTTTAGGACCGCTGATAAGCTTGGTTGCCCGTCGTTGGACTTTTTCGAGGGTGGTACGATCCTTAACAGTCCAGGGTCTCCAGGCCTGAATGGAAAATTCTAACTGTGGGCGCACAAACATCCCGAAGACCTTGCGAAAGCACTCTTCATCGAACTTGGCAAATGCCCGCTTAATGAGATATAAGCTGGACATTGCGGATTTCGCTGCTTTCAAGCAGTGGGATGATGGCTTTAGTGAAGATGTTATCCACACCCCTAGGTCTTTCTGAATCTCTACCAGTGGCAGCGGTGTGTGATGTAGATAGTACGTCTGCCGGTGCGCAGAGCTGGTTCTGCCAATCCTCAGAATGTTGCATTTGGTAACATTAAATGGGAGGAGCCAGTGGCCTGAACATTTTTCGAGTCGGTCTAAGTTTGCCTGTAAATTTGCTTCATCGTCCTCGTTGCGGATGACGGTCCAAAGCTTTATATCGTCAGCAAACATGGCAATCTTGCAGTCCAATCCATGGATACAGTCATCAATATTGAAATCAAAACGTTCTTTGGGAAAGGGAGAAAACTTTATTGAGTAAATTTTCGACGTCGGTTCCCCGTGTCGTCGTCAGACTAGAGTAAATGTGCTGAAAACAATTAAAATTTCAAACGTGCTACAAAATCAATACTCATTTGGTGCCTCAGCTAGTAAGCTGCCGTCGTGTGTGTCAGTCCGTATTGATCGGCTTTCGTCTCTTCCACTTTTCTCTGAGATTCTTGTACGTGGCATCTAATTCGATATGCCTGTTGATGCATGACTCATCGGAGTGCATGGCTTCAAGAAACTCTCGTTTTGATTTCAATTTATATTTCTTGGGATGCCTGCGTTCCAAGTCATCAATATAGATGAGGAAGAGGATAGGGCCAAGAACGGAGCACTGAGGTACTCCGCTTGTAACCGTCACCTCTGCCGAGTGCTGGCCACCAAGACGAACAGTCTGGGACCGACTGACCAAAAAGTTTTCAATCCACTTCTAAAGCTTGCCTCTTACCCCTATGCGGCTGAGCTTGTGTAGGAGACGTTGGTGTGGCACGCTGTCAAAGGCCTTCTTGAAGTCTATGTAGGCCACATGCACAACGTTTCCTTCATTAATCGCTCGGGTCCACTGTTCAAGACAGTAGAGTAGATTGGTCAAGCAGGACCTCCCTCTGCGGAGACCGTGCTGTGCATCACACAGAAGATGATTTTGCTCTAAAAACCGCATCAGTTCGCGTTTGATTATTCGCTCCATAACTTTGCAGCATATGGAGGTGAGGCTTACTGGTCGGTAGTTGTTTGCGGAAGCGCGACTGCCATTTTTATAAATCGGTGAAATCCACACAGTCTTCCACTCAGGAGGCAGTCTGCCTGCATCAAGAGAGGCTTGGGAGAGGACGCTCAGAGGTTCTGCCATTTCTGTGGCGAATTCCTTCAACAAATTTGCCGGTATTTCGTCAGGACCGGAAGAAGTCCCTTCTTTAAGCTTCAGTAATTCCTGTTGAACAATAGGTTTTGTGAGAACCACTGAGTCGCAGATTTTTGGTGATCAATCATCCCTCTTCAACACTCAATTTCAGTGCTTGCAACTGTGCAAACGAGATTCCGCTGATTTCATCCCGTATGCGGGCATTGTCAATCGTGAGTGTGGGCGTTTACAACTCGGTTCTCTCACTGAAGACCAGTTTAATTGCCTTATATTTATCTGCGGCCTCCAGTCCCCCAAGGATGCTGATATCCGGACACATCTCCTGTCCAAAGTGCAGCAGAACAACTCTACCACACTCCAAGAGCTGGCAGCAGAGTGCCAAACGCTGATCAACCTCAAGCACGGCCCTGCAATGATTCAGAACCCTGCCTCATCTTCCTCAGTCCATACGGTCACATCGACCAAATCGCATCCTGTTACACGGCCCAAGCAAGTGTCCAAGTCGAGATCTCCGCCATCTCCTTGTCGGCACTGTGGCGCGTGGCATTTCCACCGGCATTGCAATTTCCGCCAGCATCGCTGCCAAAGCTGTAATCAGGTGGGACACCGTGATGGGTCCTGCAAATCAGTACCAGCTTGTGAAGGCAAGCCAACTCCCACCACTACTAATTCCAGGCACCGTTTCCGACCAAAACGCAAGCACAAACCCCAGTCCGTTGGTAATTCTCTCAGTCTCTTGGCCGCTTTCCAGCTCAATGCGTCTGGTCGTAGAAAGTTTGTTAGCGTTTTGCTCCATGGCCACGCAGTTCGTCTACAGTTGGACACTGCCTCAGATATCACCATCATCTCTGAGAGACTCTGGCAGTCCCTTGGCAGCCCCACGATGCAGCAGACTTCCCAGTCCGCCACAAGCGCGTGCGGTGGTCTCGTTCAGCTAATTGGGCAGCTACAATGCTGTGTGTCATTCCGCGGCAACAGCATCACTGCGATCTGCTACATTACCAAGTCTGATCTAAATCTACTTGGTCTCGACTGGATGAAACAACTTGGGTTGGCCGATATGCCACTCCGCGTTGTTTGCAGTCAGGTGCAGATTCCAGCTGTGCTTGCAGACCAAGCCAAGGACATTCTCCAACGGTTTGCTCCAGTGTTCCAAGACGGCCTGGGTCGTTGCACATACACTCAAGTGGTGCTACATCTGTTTCCTGGAAGTCAACAGGTCCTCTGTCCAAAGCGACCAGTCTCATGTGCAGCCCTACAACTTGTCGAGGCTGAACTGAAGCGTCTAGAGTAATTGGGAGTTCTGGTTCCTGTATCCTACTCCGCCTGGGCCGCTCCAATCGTTGTGGTTAAGAAGCCCAATGGCTCGGTCCGCATTTGTGCTGAC